GAAGAGGCAGCTGCTTCAGCCTTAAAACTGGTCCTTCCCCCCAGATCTCGGCTGGTACCTGCCAAGCCAGAGGCTTCTCACAGCCTGCAGTAGTGCAGCTGCGGCTGCAGTTTCTACATGTGACCCAAGTGTTTCATCTTTCTGTGAGCGAGGAATCCCATCTCTCTGTGGAGCTCCACACCAGACACACAGAAAGAGGCTTGCGTGAAAGTGGAGGAGGATGGAAAGAGGACTGGAGAAACCCAAAGCCTGAAGTCCAAGGACATGATCATCCTCTGAACCACAGGCGCCCCGCACAGCCCACCAAGGCTGTAGTCCATTATTAATAGGAAAGGTAACAGATCTTTCTGCACCACACTGACCAAGGCCAGTATTTCTGGCAGCTAAATACAAAGGCTGAAATTAATTCCACACAGCAGACGAACTCCAGCTGCACTTATGCTAACCATACTTTTCAGAGGGAAAGACCCGAGGGCCCAGGGAATGAGTGTACTGAGGTATTACTCCACACCAATTCAGTGGCTGTAATATTTGCTGAAGAAATAAATAGGGGGGCAGTTGGAAAGTCCAAGATGCCTTTACAAAGACTTCAGTTGGATATCAACATAGACCTCAAACTTGCTTGGAAGTCAGGGTATTCGGAAAATAAGAGCAAATATTTGTAAAGATATAAGCTAGAAATTTATTAATTGCAAATTTAACTGTCACGTAGAAGTGACAGAAAAGCAAGCCACTTCTGTGTATTCAGAGAGAGAGGAGGAGCAAGCCTGAGCAAGACGAGCTGGTAGGCTGCGTTTTGCTTTCTTTTCCATTTCACTGGTTGCTGCCCCCCCTTCTAACTCGGGCTCTGGCCTGCTAGCAGCCAGACACTAGCTGTCCCAGCGCAGAAGAAATGGGCGAGAACTCAGAACTGGCAACGCCCACTATCAACGCTACTTTTGTTCTGAAATTTGGTCAAGTGCTGCCACTGCTCACTTCTAGCGGGGCTGGCACACACGTTGTCCCCGAGGACACAGAGCACAAGCCTTTCTTACGGAGTCACACTTGCCCCAGGCAGCACTCTACGTTCCTTGCCAGGACCCTTCCTACTGAAGGTATCTCCAGGGCTCTTCCACAACACGGGCTGTGAGAGCTCAGCAACCCCAGGCTGAGGGTGAGCACCCCGTTTCCTCTGTGTTTAGCAGTACAGTTTCTAAGCCATCCCTCCAGGCGGGCTTCCAGGACCTGACGTGGCTCAAGCGAGATCCTGAGGGAGCGTCCCTGAGAACATCTATGGCCAAAGTCTTCATGGAGGACCAACCCTGCTTCGATACCTTTCTAGAGAAAACTGCCTTGGCCTGGCTCTGGGACTCAGAGGGTTGGATGGATGTGTCCGTGCACCGCAGACACAGTGGTCCCACAGGAAGGTCCAGGTGTGGCTGCAGGTGTGCCCTCCACCTTCTGTTTAGAATGAGGGCCACTGTCCCAGCTGTTTCTAGATTTTTTTTTTTTTGTACTGGGGACTGAACTCAGGGGTGCTTTACAAGTGAGCCACATCCCAGCCAGTTTTATTATTTCATGTTGAAAAAGGGTCTCAACTAAGTTGCTCAAGGCCTCTCAATAAAGTTACTGAGACTGGCTTTGAACTCGTGATTATCCTGCCTCTGCCTCCCAAGCTGCTAAGATTACAGCCATGTGCTGCCGTGCCCGGCTATTTCTAAGATTTTTAAAAAGCTTGATCTATCCCTCAGACAGTAACTCACAAGCTCTGACCAGTCAGAAATTGCTATTTGGACTAAAAATCAAAAAGACCACTGGACAAGACTGCCTTTGTTTCCTCACCCGTGAGATGGGGATAATGAGAGTTTCTCACCTTGCAGGGTTGCTGTGGACTGAATGAGTGCCATTTTACAACACATACATGAAGCAGCAGAGGTGGCTACGACTTGCATCTATTATTTTTATTATTAGTCTTTAATCACATTCTAGTTATTCTTTCCTGTCTCGATTTTTTGCTGTTTTCACTATTGTTTATTTAGTATTTTTCTTTAAGCTGACTCATTTCCTTTCTACCTAAAATTTATTTTAAAAAGAACATCACCATGGCAAATGGGAAAACAGACTTGTGTCATAACCAGAATGCAAATATAAAAATAAATACAACAAAAGCAAAGCAACGTAAACTCAAGCCGACTCTGGCCACAAGCACTGACCCCCAGCCTGCCTGGGGACCCCAAGATGAAAGAGTCAGGGCGCAAAGCAGAGCCCGTCTCCTCCAGGCACATGGATGCTGCAGTGCTGCTAGGGGGGAAGGGCCTCTCCCTGCAGGTCTGAGGGCCCCCAGAACCTTCTGTGCAGGCGCCATGTTCTAGGTCTCACTGTCCAGCACACACATGTATTAAATGTCTGAAACATGGTTTGTGTGACCAAGGAACCGAATGCCTCGATTCAGTCTGCTTTAGTTAATTTAGACCTCAATACTCACACATGGCCAGTGACGGTCCCCTGAGGAAGCTGTACAGCCAGGCTCTCCACGACATCCCCGTCCAGTTGGGGGCTAAGCCCTTAGTCTCCTTCCAGGGAGGTCTTGTGAAATTAGGCAGTGATTTGTCATGGAAATGTAACAGGTTTATTTACCAAATTTTTTATTATTGCTTAATCAAAAGTCCTAGGTAGACATTGCCTTTAGCGCTCTTTCTGAGGAACTAACACTTTATCACCAGCACTGGAGTTATCCAAACAGCCATGCTTCCATTTTTCATACCGACTGCCAGGAAGCTCTCAGGAAATTTAAAATTCCATAAGAACCACCGTGTTGGATCCCGTGATAAATAGACTTTCCACTTGCCTTCTAAGCTCTCTTAGATATTTGTTCCTTCTCTTTTCTTCATCCTTTTATATATGTTTTTTCTAGAAATTATCTCGAATCTTTTGAAATTAAATGGCATGCATTTTTTTTTTAATCCTAAAACAAATAATTTCCAATGGTGCCAGGATTTAAAGGAGTCCTCTGCTAGCTAGTATCAGTTATATAAAAAAAACGCTGTGCAAAATCATCTGAAATGCTTCCAAACATGCTCCGATTTTGCTCCTGAGGCACCAAGCAGACATCGTTAGCTAAAAAGAGAACAATGTGTGCAAGAGGTGCTGTTGGGCCTGCTCCAGCCTCAGGACAGGCTCCCTGAGCCGGGGGTGTGGGCTTAAGCTGCTCTGGGTGATGAGGGAGCTGCCGAAATCTGGGCCGCAGCCTCGTGTGCCGGCTGAGCCATGCCCTGGAGAGCTCTGGAAACAGTGAAGCGGGGAGAGAGTGGCTTTAAGGCCACTGTGGCCACTGTGGGAACAGTCTCCCAGGCAACAGCAGATTTGCTGTGCCCATCTCACTTCCTAGCTGACTTTCAGAAGCTAAAATCTCTAGATCACTTCATGGGATGGGGACAGGGGATGGGGGGTATGAAAGGTCAAGGAAACCTCTCAAGTGATAGCACATTTTAATTTTGCTCTAAGATAAAACTGCCTCCTTCACCAGACAACACCTCCCAGCACTGCAGTGACTGCAAAGTAGAACTTGAAGGTCACTCAAATGACCCACTTTGGGTGGGTTTTTTATTTTGTTTTTGTTTCTTTTGCTTTGGGGTAAGAAGAGGATATTTGCAAGTCTGTCATATCTGGTTCTCTTTTTAAACCAGAGCCGAGAGCATGTCATCAACACTCAGACTCTCCCAGTACATATGAAAAGTGTACCGTCGCCCAGCTGAATGTGTAAACTAAAATGACTTTCTTGTGCCAGACTCCAGCTCATTGTCTCTGAGATTCTAATATGCACAAGTCATGCTTATATCTGAGACCAAACAGGGCAATCGTCTGAGAAGGCAGGAAATGAAGCACCTCTTCCTAATCTCACAGCAGTTTCACAAGATAAGTGCTGCCACTTCTACTTAGAGACAAACAAGTTTTACCTAAGGTCACAGGACTTAAGCCAGGGCTCCTATTTGCAACTTCAGGGTCCCTTTTCACCATCATGCTTCCCTGGAGAGAGGTCAATCCCTGCTAAGAAAAATGGCAACCCTGCCCAGGTCTCCACAGAGCTCAGGGGAGTCAAAACTTCACTTCATGAAATCATTGATTTAAGAGGGGAGCAGAAGCAGGAAGCGGCTCAAGAGCGGTGCTAAAACGAGCGGTTCCAGAATCAGCAGACACGAGAAGCTATTGTCAGGGTTCAGGGTAAGAAAAAAGTCTGGAAGTGGACAGGGCTCAGAGGGGCATCAGGAAATCAGAGCAAGGAGGAAAACGGGGTCCTCCTGACTGCAAAGTCACTGCCAAAGCAGACAAGGGTCTGCAGACCTAGAAACCCAAGCATCTCCTGCAGAGGCCACCTCTACTGCAGGGAAGCAGAGATGCCCACAGTCTGAGCTTGTCAAGTCCCCCTTGCCCCTTCTGTTGAAGACAGTGGCCTGGTTTTCCTCTGGGCCACCACCTCTCCCCTTTCTCAGACATGAGGTCAAGGTCAGTCCCAGCATCAGCCACAGTACACGAGCGAAACTGGGCCAGCCAGGAAAGTCGGTACCACCCAACCCCAAGGTTCAGGAATGGACCCGAGATCCCAGACAGACCAGGGAGCTGAGGCCCAGGACCCCGCCAAAGCCTGGGGCTGCTGGGAACTCCCATCGGCCGCAGAGACCCAGCCATGCTGGCTGCACAGCAGGAAGAGGAGGCAGCAGCAGGCTCCTGACCCCAGGCCAAGCATACCTGAGGCCCGACCTAGCCCAGGACTTGTCACCACCACACCAGCCAACAGATCCCCACGTCTGCTCAAGCAGCTTGAGATCAGTTCAGCAGCTGTCACCCTGGGAGACTCAACTGGCACTAGGCTCTCCCCCACTCCTCCTCACGGACAAAGGGCCACACACACCTCCTCAGGGCGGCTGGAGGGCTGTGGCCTCCTTCCTACTACAGCACCCCAGCCCCAAGGGGGCTCAGCACCCGGTTAACAAACAGGGCTGGCGTTAGAACCCCGAGCTCACCTGATACACGTGGAATGCATTCGCTGCCTTGCCGCGGAGGAACACCGACGGGATCCAGACGTTGATCAGCGCCCGGTTAGTTCTGACCAAGAGAAATCACACTGTCACTTACAGAAACCAACAACTATACAGAAACCAGCACAGGAAATAATTTTCTCCTCTAAAATTCTGCACAAAAAATTCATACAACATGTATTGCTTGATAGTGAACCTAGGGACCAGTTCAAGTCCCACCCCTCATCTCCCAGGACTGTTTTCAATATATACAACCATATAAATTTATATAACATGTTATATGTTGTAAGTTTACACATGCAGTTTATTTTTTGAAATGAGAACGAGCTGCCCTTCCATTCCTGCCTGCGGAGGGACCTTGGCCTTCAGAAGATGCCTTGGGCCTAGGATGTGTCTGATGCTCAGGCTCCACCTCTCCTTGGGGAGAGCAACAGGGATGTACAGGAAGCCATGCAGAAGGACACCAACAGCTTTAGAGCACCCTGTGGAGCCACACTGTCTCTTCACTGCACTGACTTCAAACTCTCACCCCCATTTCATGTGAGACTCCACAAAAATGCTCAGGAGACCAACACCATGGCTCTGAGTGACAGCTGTTTGGGGCAGGAGGTGGGAAGGATACCAGAAAGTAACAAGTGACAAAACCAGGATGCCAGGCACAAGTACTCTTTCGACTTTTCCAAAAACACTGTGTCTGTGGGTCTAATGAAGCAAGATTGATATTCAAATACACGGCCGTGGCCACGGCTGTAGCTCACCACAGTGTTGTCCAAGTGTTCTGTTTCCTCACTGACCTCCTGTCTGGTTGTCTTATCTATCAGTAAAAGTGGGGTCCTGAAGTCTCCAACTCTTATAATAGAGTTACTGCCTTCATTTCTATTTTTACATAAAATGTTTTGGGGCTCTGATGTTAGGTGCATACGTGCTTAATGTTGTTACACAGAAATTATTTAATTAGCATTGGTGTGTCACCAAGTGCTATTAGATCTAAGGAGAGTGAATGCCAGGGGGTGTGCTGCCGTCTGGGCCAGGCTATGGGGACAGAGTCTGGCAAGCTGAGGAGGGGTTGCAGCTGGAAGGCTGCTTCTGGCAGGGGAGTTAACATCTGTGAAGACCAGATCAGCAGAGTTTGAACCCCAGCTCAAGCCTGTCATCTGTGAGACGACACCCCTCTGAGAGGTGTGGTGGGACAGTTAGAGAGCGCCCGGACAGAGGAAACGCTGGCACGCGTGGGCTAAGTGAAGAAGACGGCAGTCCTGGTGGTGGGGAGACCGGGAGCTACAGGAGAGGAACCGGGCAGCGTCTGGTGTGCAGGGAGGGGAGAGGGCAGGGCTGGAGATGGAGTCAGAGGTCCGCGAGGGCCTTCTTTAGGGGACACATGAAGGACTTTTGCCCACAGCAAGTGTTCGGTAGAGTAGTTCCCCAGGACCTCCCCATCACAATGACTGGTCTCTGGGAACGCCCTCCCACCTTCCACTCCTCCCAGTTTCTCCCACCATAGGTGTCTCCTCCAGTGGCCATTCTAGTAGCCTCTTCCTGCTGACTGCCACCCACAGGCCAATGGGAAGCAAGTCACCCTGGACTTCCATCCTTCACCTCCTCTCCCTGCCCACCCTGATATTACCCCCCTCCCATGGTGGGGCCCCAGCAATAAGGGACCCCTTGGTGCCCTGGATTTTCTATAATCTCATTAAAATGGCTCCCAGAACCCTGCAAGGATGGTATCAGGAGCTTCACCTCAAGTCCCAGAGAGGTTCAGGGACTGAGGTTTCAAAGCAGGTCGCCTGGCTCCAAAAAATGTTCTTTCTGATGCCCTGCCCTGCGCTCCCCCTTCAGAAGTGACTTTTCCCGTTTGACCCTTTCTGAGAGGAAGGCTACATTTCCTATTTTCCTTGTCTTTTTGCTTGGAGACAGGGTCCTGCTATGCTGCCCAGGCTGGCCTCCACCTCCCGGGCTTGAGTGAGGGGAGGTTGAACAGGCCACATTTGAAGGACAGGGAAGAAGATTCTGCCTGGCCCTTAACCCAGGACTCACACCATGTCCCAAACCCAAGGAAACCTGAATAGAAATCATCTCAAGACCAATGGTTTCTCTAGGGTATCAAAAGGCAAATGGAATCAGAGCTGTGCACAGATCACGGGAGGCTCATGACCCAGGAGATGCAGACACCAATACCTACAAGGGGCTGCTGGGTGAACCGACAGAGAGCCAGGGGTACAGCCGACCCAGCGCACTGCCCTGTGTGAAGGGGACAGCTGCTCCCTGCCCTGGGGACTGTGGCCATAGGCACGGGAATCTAACTTTCAAATGAAATTTTTAAAATTCAAAATTTTATGTGACACCTTCCAAATCTGAAATGTCAGCCAGGGAAAAAGATTTTCAAAAACCCAAGGGGAAGATAAAACACACCAGAAGGCCCGGGCTGCCAGAGAAGCACCCTCCATGACAACCGAATCAACCTGATGCGGGCTTAATGGCGATTTCTGTTTCCCTGGGGGGTCTTCTGGGACCTGAGCCAGCAACAGAGTCCCGTCTCTAAAGTACCCCTCGTGAGCACATGCCATGGACTTACATTTCAAAATCCGACAAACTCTGATCTTCGGATGTTTGACTCAAATCTCCGGGCACCTGCCACCAGGGGAGGAGAGAGGAAGAGAGAAAATGCATACGGTTACCATGGTTTGCATAATCACGGACAATTTCTGCCTCGCAATGATCCCCGAACATTTCCTGTTCAGAATGAGGTGAAGAAGCAGTTACTAGAAAATAGTGAGAGATTTTGTGCAGGGATGGCTGGAGATAATGTTGCAGTAATAAAATATGCCACCATGAGCCATCTCAATTATCTTTACAGGAAAAAGACTGCTAATCCTATTGAGATAATCACAGGCATGTAAAAGCGTGTAATTTTGGAGCTATAAAGGGCTAATTAGGATCTGAGATGCAAGATATCAGATGGTGATGGGGAAAATATCCATTGTCACCATGATGGGCATCACACAGACACGCGAACACCAAAGGCCAATGTCTACCCTGAAACGGCCCTGACCTTTCCCCACAATGTATGAGACGTTCAGGCAGCACCTGGCTTCTCCTCACTCAGAGGGGCCTTGTGAGGATGTGATGGGGTAAGAGAGACCAGGCTTCAAGGTACAATGGTCCCCACCAGGGCTGCCCAGGGATGCTGATGGAGACAAGGGTCCAGCAAGCACTCAACAGCCTGTGGGATCCTGAGTGAGCCCCACCCTTCCAGCCTTGATTCTGTCCCAGGGAAACCAATCCTCAGGACTGTCCCAGGATTCACAATTGTTCTATAAAGCAGGTTGCAAAATGTTCAGCACAAGTAGATGCTCCATAAACAGCGATGTTATTCCAAAACCCAGGAAAGTTGTTTCCTTGAGAAACTGAATCCGCTAGGGCTCTAAGATGTGGGCCAAGGCTAAGGGGAATCCAATGGAATGGGGAAGAACATAAGGTAGTGAGGGGAAAAGAGAGACCCTTGAACTCACACCTTCACTTTTCAGGACTTTAGTTTATCCACAATCTTGCCAATTCCATAACAACCCCAGGGATGGGTGCTATCCCCCAACTTTTCGGAGGAGGCAAGAAAGGATGCGTAACTTGCCCAAGATCATATCAGGAAGCAGACAGGAACCCAGGACTTTAAGACTTCTAAGTTTCCTCTGTCAGGAACCCTCAGCAAAGAGGAAAACCAGCTCAAAGGCAAGGCTTGAAGCCCCTCGGCCTGTGTGGAAGGCTGGATGTGAAGCAGCTCTTCCTGAAGAACTAGGTTCTGGCTTTGAGGGTGGGAGTGCAGTGGCTATGGAGCCTGGGCCCAGGGTCAGACCCCTTCTTCCTGTGTGGCTAAGAGCAAATCACTTCTCTGTGTTGCTCTTTTCTCAACTGTGAGGTGGGTGTAACAGTGACATGGGGTTGTCCTAAGGATAGAGTGAGCTGTTATGTGTAAGATACCCAGAGTAGAGCCTGCCGGGAGAAAGATCTCGTATCTCTGAGCTCTGATAGCAGCACCTGAGAAGGCAGGGTGGCGTGTTCTTTACCCTTCAGCAGTGTGTTCAGACACAGAACCTGGCTGGCTAGCTCAAGGGGGCCTTCCCCCTGTACATGGCAGCCACAGGGAGAGCCACCAGGTTGAGCCCTCCACAGACATCTGTGCTGAGCCACCAGCTTGGGCTGCAGGCAGATGTCCCTGTGATGGCACTGCGAACGGACTTCTGCAAAGCAGCCAGGAGACTCCTGTCTTGCTTCTGGTCAGAGCCCCAGTTTCCTACAGTCTTATACCCCAGGGGTCCAGGGATCTGCTGGGCTGGGCATTGGTGCCACCCCACTACTGCAGTGACCACCACTTTCCTACAGGTGACTGCAAAGAGATGGAATATTAGGAAACATGAGGCCGCATGTACCAAGATCCAATAAAATATCCATGTCCTGTGACCCAGGAACCCACCAACAAAATTCATCTATAAGAAACCCAAAGACACCACCAAAATTTATGTCAAAGATCATCCCTCTTAACACTGCTTAAAGAACTTAAAGAAAAAGATTACAATCTAAAGATCCAACTGCAGAGAAGTGAAGTGGTTCAAGAAATTATGATGTCCACATGAGATGGCCAGGTTGAAGAAATTTCAAATAGGCTTTGCATACACGTGTGTATGTGCGTGCAGACACATTGCACACACATACATTCCTGAGGCTACAGACCTAAAAATAATTCTGGAAAAATACGTAATAAATAGGAAAAATGGCTACTACCAATAACAGATTAGGGGTGAGATTGGGAGGAAAAAGGCCCATTTTTCGTTTCCTCTTTCCGTAAGATTAAAAAAAAGTATGGCTTAAATTACTTTAAAAAATGCAATCATGCTTCTGAAGAATGCACCAGCTTTCTCTGTGTTATTATGAAAAGACATCTTAGATCAGTAGGGGAAGCAAAAGCAGGGTGCAGATTAGGGCCAGAACGCTGCCTCGGGGGCAGACGTGGGGAAGTGAGACGATCCCACTGAACTTGTTTCTGCATCAAAAAGCTGAAGACGTGAATCCAAGAGACCAAAGAAAGGGGTGTCCAGGGGCAGGGCCTGGGAGCACAGCACTGGGAATGAGGCTACTCGCAAATACTCTGATGGCATGTGAGTTGTGAAGGAAGTTAAAGAAATTTAATACAAATGTATTAGCTTCCCCCAAAAGAGTGCTTTTGATAAATGTTTCATGAAAGAGATAAAAAAAACTCTAGTCTCTGTTTAATAACAAGCAGCTAGAGACTGCAAATGTCCAGTGTGATCCCCAGCTCACTTGGTGTCGGCAGGGTTGGGGTGAGATGCAGCCAGATGACACAGTGGTGGCCTCTGAGAAGGAGCCAGGTGACAATGGTGGCTTTATCTAAGAAGCCAGGTGATGACAGTGGCTGTAGCTGAGAGAGATGCCAGATGACAGGGGCCACATCTAGGAAAGAAGCCAGCTGCCTCTGAGAGACTAGTCTGTGATTTAGATTTGGAACTTTTCAGCATTTTCTACATCAAGGACGTGTTAGTTGAGTGGCCACAGGCAAACACATGTCCTGGAGCAAGCTCAGTGTGCGTCATGTGGTTTCTGCATCTCTTTCCCACCCCAGGCATCTCACCAAGATGCAGAAGGCCAGATGGAAGGGGCTTTGCCTTCGCATTCACTGATCAGGGATGGAAAAGGATGGAGCCAGGGTTCTGCACCCACGTGGCCTTCCAGACACCACACTCCTCTCATGGAGTCCAGTGGGAGGGGCACGCATCTGTTCCTCAGCGGGACTGTAGGTAGCGATCGGCCATGGAACTTCTGAATCTTCCCTTGCACCTGGGGCTAGGTAGGCTCTTCTGGGCATGGTGTGTAGATTAAGGATCAGACTTGAGGAGGGACTCACAGGCTCTGGGGACACCAGTTCCCTCATGATGCACAAACACCACCTCCTTTAAACACAGCCACAGCCCAAACACAAAGGGAACAGAGCTTGTCCCCAGGGGCTTCATTCCCAAGCACCTGAGCGTAGGCGTCCCTCAAAGCAGAAACAAAGGGCAACCAAAGGGATGGAAGGAAGAGACAGACAGGGCGGCCATCTTATAGACAGACATCACTTGACAATTACAAGCAACAAACAGCTTCTTCCAAATGAATCAACTCAAGGTCCTGATCAGTTTCCCCTCCAGGCTGCTGGTTTTTGGAGAATCTTAGATGGCCAGTGCATGGGTCTGGGGCCAAGTCCTTTGGATTTAGACATTTTTCTGCTAATGCTGTGGTCTTACTGGGAGTAGCAAGGCAGATGTTTGTGTGTCTACCCGAGTGCCCACAAGGCTGCTTAGAAGAACCAGTGAACTTGCAAGCCTCTGCGGAGCATGAGGCCAGTCTCCAGGGCAGTAGCAGGGTGACAGTGGCAGACCAGGCTCAGTGAGCATCTTACAACTGTCTTTTTGCTGCCTGCCCAGAATGGCGCCAGAGCTCCCCTGGAGTCCACAGCAAACGTCCAGAAAGCTTCCTCTACTTCATATGCTGGTGACAGAAGAAGGTGGGGCAGAGACTATTTTATACAAAAATATCAACTTTCTATTGATATTAGCCACCAACATGCCCTATGGCCTCCTGAAGTCTGGAGGATCTTGAAGGACTCATCTCGGGGACGTGGCCTTCTCTTGGTTCACCTTCCATACAGGGCATAAAGAAATGGGCAGCTCCCCCTCTGTCTGTGGTCTGTGCAATCATGTGGCAATAGCTGGGTGCAGGGAGAGCAGAGCCCAGTGCTAGGGAAACAGGGCAGCAAGAGTCCTCGATCCTCCTGGAGCAGACGGCACCAGCGTTGCATGTGTGAGGACACGGAGGGGCAGAGAACTGGGAAGAATTCGCTCCTGGTGCAGGATCAGTGGTTTCCACGATCTTTCCCGACTTGGGCTTCCCTGGGCCTGAGGGGCAGGGACGGGCCATGAGGGCAGCTCTCTCACAGGCCTTGAGCTCCGACTCCCACGTCAACATGGACTCCAGCACTGGCTCAGCCTGTACCATGCTTGTCACTTCCCCAAACTTGGGCAGAGCCTAGAAGTTCTACAGCTCTACCAAAGTGGAGGATCGTCTAATGCTTAATAAATGCTTATGAAGGAGCGAGGAGGAGGAGAGAAGGGAGGGGAAGGAAGGAACATCAGCCAATCTGTCAAATCATGGACAAAAAAGCAAGCTCCCTCCCTTGAGTGGAATCAGGATCTGGACAGGGCTGGTAAAAGCCTCCTCTCCTCAAGAGATGCACTCAACTGCAGCCCCAGCTGAGTGCTTTCATGTCACAGCTGGTCCCAGGTCCTCCTCTCAACAGCCTGTGGGCAGAGGTGTCACCTCCACTCACAGGCAGGGCAAGGGGGCTCCATATGAATAAACAGGAGGAGGAATGTTGTCAGGAACCCACCCAGTCTCCTAGCCTGCTCAGGAGCCTCAGCAACTTCAAGAGCTCAACTATCTCCAGGTGGGGGTAGGATGCATGAGGAATTCTGGTCCATAATTCCATCTACATCATAGTGGACAGTCAGCAACAACGGCCGGATGAATAAGGACGCCATCTTAGACGTCCAGTTCCGTGCAGCTCCAGATCACTGCACCTGGTC